GGGTTTGGGGTTGTAGGGTTTCGGGTTATTCGGGTTTAGGGCTTTAGGGCTTTAGGGTTTTCGGGTTTAGGGCTCTAGGGCTTTAAAGGGTTTAGGGTGTTAGGGTTTTCGGGTTCAGGGGTCAGGGGTTTAGGGTTTAGGGTTTGTACTAGACTGGGGAAACCCGATGCTTTACGAACTTTCACCGTTCTTAAAACACCCTATACGTACTATACTAAAATATAAAGTATTATAAATATAGTGGAAGTATATTTTTAATATATCAAAAGGATAGAATAATATATCATAATACACAATATTATAAAATGATTCACTACAGTACCCTACACCCTAAGCCCCCTTAAACCCTCAACCCTAAACCCTAAACCCTAAACCCTAAACCCTAAAGACCCTAAACCCTAAAGACCCTAAAGACCCTAAACCCTAAAGACCCTAAAGACCCTAAACCCTAAAGGCCCTAAAGACCCTAAACCCTAAAGGCCCTAAAGACCCTAAACCCTCCACCCGAAGCCCCAACACCGAATCTGCAGGCCGCGATGAGCCCGACGCGCAGCTTCATGGAGGTGTACTACGACGTCACAAAGCTCGCAGGCAGAGCGACTTCGGGTTCCTGTAAGGGTTCGGGTTTAGGGTTTAGGGTTTAGGGTTTAGGGTTTAGGGTTCGGGTTTTGGTTCCTTTAAGGGTTCCTTTAAGGCTTTAGGGTTTAGGGTTCCTTGAAGGGTTCCTTTAAGAGTTCCTTTGAGGGTTTCGGGTTTAGGGTTCCTTTAAGGGTTTAGGGCTTAGGTTTCTTAAGCGTTCCTTTGAGGGTTTGGGGTTTGGGGTTCCTCAGGGTCTTCAGGGTTTAGGGTTGCGTTCCTTTACGGGCTCCTTAAGAGCATTGGCTTCTGCAAATGCTCTCTCCCCCTGTCTAGCTCACTCTAGCTGCTGGACTCTAGCTCTCTTTTGTCTTTTTTTTGATCTCGCTCTCTCTCTCTTTCTCTCTCTCTCTCTCTGTCTTTCTCTTTCTCTCTTGTGTCTTGTTTATACCTTTGTTTTCCTGGCACCCGAACTTTGGGCAAGCGGAGCTCATTGCAGGCTTCGGCTGCAGGAAGACGTGGCGCGACAAGCAGCAGTCTGTTCTCGGAGAGCTGTGCCGGCACTAGAGCTTTGGGGGACCCTTGGGGATATAGACCCTCTCAATAAGGTCCCGTTTAAGAGAGCCAAAAGTAGGGTTCAGAAGGGGAACGGGCAGGGCTCCACATGGTTCTGTGTGGCCGTGTCGTTTTGCAACTACAACAGACCTAAACCCTTTTGTGCAGGCCTTAAGGGCCATCACGGTTTAGGGTTTAGGGTTTAGGGTTTAGGGTTTAGGGTTTAGGGTCCCACCTTAAGCCTTAAACCTAAAAGCCCAAAACCCCCAACCCCAAGCCACAGCAGAGCATATACACTGGAAAGTCTCAGACCAAGGATGCGGACCCCCAAACGAGAAACCGTTTATATATATATATATACATACATACATACATACATACACACACACACACATACGGTTTTCCAGGGCTTTATGGGGGTTTCGGGGGTTATATAGGGGTTCGTATCTCAAGGGTTGGACCAAATTGGAACCCTAAGCCCTAAACCCTACACCCGTTTTTTGGGACCCCAGAGAACCCAACACATCTTAATTAAGGAGTTTACCTTAAGTTATAGGGGCCTTAATAGTATGATTTAGGGTATATTCCTTAATTAAGGAGCATTGGGTTCTATGGGACATTCTGACCCCCCAAAGCCTAGGATGTGGACCTGCCTTGCTTGCTCGTCAACTCGCTCCTCAGATGCACGGTTTAGGGTTTTAGGGTTTAGGGTTTAGGGATTAGGGTATAGGGTTTAGGGTTTAGTGTGGTAGCGTACCCATAGTCTCCAGTGTATCTCTTTTTCTGGTCTAATTAGTCTGTATGATAATACTTGGAGGTGCATGGGACTTGGTAACTATTGTTGTAAACAAGGTAACTATACTTATAAGTACTTATAACTCCATTTAAGGTACTTATAACCGTTAATGACTAAGTCCCATGAACCCCACAAGCAATCCTATAAGATAACCCAAGAAAAGGAACCGCAATGGGAGACTATCCTAAACCCTAAACCCCAAACCCTAAGCCCTAAACCCTAAACCCTAAACCCTAAACCTAAACCCTATAAACCCTAAACCCTAAACCCCTGTTTCTGCGGGCCGATGGTTTCGAAGCAGGGGTTTCTTGATCTGGGCCCCGCATGATTCCGTGTGGTGACGAGCTTGCAGACCTAGAGACTCCAAAACCCCTTAATTAAGGAATATACCTTAAATCATATCAGGGAGCCTAGTATAATTTCAGGTATATTCCTTAATTAAGGGGTTTTGGAGTCTCTAGGGACATTTATGGGGTCTTTTGTGGGAGCATTCGTTTATACCGTAGAAGAACCAGAGACTAGAATTCACTTAATGTATTTTCTTTCTATTTTATCGTACAGTATACCACAAGAGCCGGCTCCTATCATTAAGGCCCTTGTGATACTGCGTCTACTGGAGTTCATGCCCTAAACCCTAAGCCCTAAACCATGTGGGAGTTTCCGAATATTAGGGTACCTTATTTGGGGGTCCTTATAATAAGGATCCTCTTATTTAGAGTATTGTATTAGGGTCCTCTATTTTCGGAAACCCCCATGTCGGAAACGATCTTTGGATCGCCTTGACAGTTGCATCTCAAGGCGGGATGATCCCATCTCTGTCTGGGACAACGTGGAGGATGCCTGGCCTTTAGCAAGAAATTCGGGGTTTAGGGTTTAGGGCTTCTAGGGTTTAGGGTTTTTAGGATTTTTAGGGTTTAGGGTTTTTAGGGTTTTTAGGGTTTTTGGGTGTTAAAGTTTAGGGCCTTTCGGTTTGGGTTTAGGGTCTATGGAAGGTTCTTCACTGAGGGCATGGGACTCTGATGCTCATTCTGGTTGAGCCAGGACCATCGCGCAGAAATTGAGAGCAACCCCTATCTTGCTCTGGCAGATCTGCACCTTCGCCCGCAGTTTCAGCTTTGGGTCTGGCAGTATCCTTCAGGCTTGACGCGTCTCCGCGCCGGCTATCTTAGCAGTTCTAACCAGCCTTGCCCTAAACCCTAAACCCGATTGCCATTCTGAGGTCAACAGAAACCCGAGAGTTCTTGTTGCCACGTCCGGGCGGAACCAGTGAATGTGGCACGGAAGCAGCTGAGGCATCGTGGTAGCCACGGATGCAAGCTGCTCCGCCGCAAGGATAGATCTTCAAAGCATGATTCATTCGCGAGAGCATGTGGTCAAGGAGCCCAACCCTAGACCCAAAACCC